ATAATCAATAATTTATTTAAAAAATGTACAAATAATAATACATTATACATTTATGATTATACAGAACAATTCAGGCTATCAAAATAAAAATATTTAAAAAAAACTGTCACAAGTCTAGCCTCCGAGTCTTATGGATAATATTATCGTTTTGCAAAAAAATTATTGCCGACGAAAAATCATGCACGTAGACGTAGTCACTATAAATTTGTAAGAAATTTTTGTTCTGATGACGACTGAATAACAGAGGTAGGACAGGTAGGTAGGTGCTCCATAATGTTATTTAGGGCACCCGCTTATTTATATGTTTAATTTTACTGCACGGATTTTACTTTTACCAAACATTATTCTTAAAATATCTAATTAGAAAATTTCACTCGAATACCTAACGTATATGATCTCGTAAGTTTTTTCTGCACTCTGCAGTCTATCGCTCTATCAGTATATTATACATTTTATAACATCGAAATACGAGATATGTAAGTGGCGGGGGTCAACTTTATAGACCAGTATACCTACCGATTTTCTAATTTTGTTGTTATTAGACACACAATTCCTACAAATTTATGCTGGACTTTGTTCGTTTTCAACAAACAAAATTTGAAAACCAATGATTTTAATTTTCATGTAATACTTACATAGTGTTAAGTTTTTTAGTAGGTACWGATACAGAATTAATGGTTGAAATGATGGCCTTTTTGTTAATTAAATTTAATATGGTTAAATTAAAAAGTGAAAAATTACAATGATTATTATTATTTATTGCATTAAAATATAAATAATAAGTACCTACTTGATAAATTAGAACATTATTGTATTAACATTTAAAACTGATATGATAACTATTTGTAAATTTGTTAAAAAAAAAAATTATATGAAAAAGACTTAGGTACTAGCTAATTTATGTTGTGTATTGGTTACCTTAAATACACAGATATCACTCTTAAGTCATAATTATAAACATTTAGAAAATTACTGTGCTAATAAGAATATTGTTTTATTTCTTCTTAATGAAATATAAATTATACATTTATTTTTTATTAATATTGAGATTTGAGGTGATAAGATGTGTCTTGGTTGTCATCAACTACTATTAGTACCTATCCTAGAAAAAAAAAATACAAAATACATATTATTTAAAAAAAAAAAAAAAAATGTATGTATATATATATGTATAATGTATTTTTAATTTTGACTAATATTGTTTTTGGGTACCCTAAAAGTTATCGTCTTTGTATTTGGGATAGCATTTTTATATTTCTCTCGAATCCTGATAAACGAAAATTCAACAAATTAAATACCTATAACCAATATAGGAGGTATRTACCTACATATTATGTTGAATAACACTGTATTGCAATGGCTAAATAAGTTAGATACATTTAATTTTGTAAATAACCTAAAAGTACCAAATCAATATGGTCACATTTATTCATTAAAAAAAAAAAAAATGGTTAATTTTAAAATTTAAAATTGTATAATTAAGAGGACACTACACCCGCATGTGTTGTCTCCGTCTTACAAGTGTGTAACATTGCAAAAACTGTTTCACGCGGGAAAGAACCGAGAAAGATACAGTTATAACTAAGAAACGAAATTTTCACAACATAAAAAAGAGAATTTTGTCTGTGCAATATCGTTTTTATTTTTTCGATGTCACTTATACAAAAAAAATTCTTATTGTTTTATAATACATTAATTTTGTGTTTTTTAAGCTGTTTAAGTTCTGATATCGAAAAAATAAAAACGACATTCCACAGACAAAATTCTCCTTTTTATGTAGTGAAAATTTCGTTTCTTAGTTGTWAACTTATAACTGTAGCTTTCTCGGTTCTTTCCCGCGAGAAACAGTTTTTGCAATGTTACGCACTTGTAAGATGGAGACAACACATGCGGGTGTAGCGTCCTCTTCTCCTCTTACTTACAAATAATGTTGTATGAATAGTTACGGTTAAGTTTGAACTTACTATCTACATACATATATGATTCGTAAATAACTTTAATATTCTCTACCTCTAAGAAAGAAAACATGTCACAAACAATATTTAATCATAAATTCAAAATTGGATAGTTTTTTTTCTTTATTAATGTACCTACTACCTATACACACATCTATACGCAATACGCAAACGGTACAATAAGAGTATGAGCACAAGGGTGAAGGGAGAATGAAAAATTTGAATAAAGAAGCCACCCATTGATGACACTTACGTTATCTTTTAATTATTTTATTTTAACAACTATTTATAAATTGGATAGAGAAATTTAAAATTTAAAAATATCTATAAAAATTCTTGTCGACACCCTTAGTTACTTCAGCTCATATAATTCTATGACAATAGGTACAGACACAGCGAGCTTTATTACACAAAAAGAAATTTAACTGCGTGGTGTTCATTATATTATATACAGACTAAATTTCAATTTTTTGTAACATTTATATTTGTACTTAGATAAAAGGTACTTCGAGTACTTCCGAGAGGAAATCTTGTACTGGTCTGAAGATTCGGTGGTTAGGTGTGCACCATCACGCACAACCTATTAAATTATCTACTAATTAGTTTCCAGGAGACTATAAAGTATTTTGTTTAAAACACTATAATTCATAAAGACTAAAGAATATTTTAAGTTTTATTCATCGTAATAAAACTATTACGTATTTAAGAATTAAAATAAATTAATAATACTATATGGAATATATCATTTTTTCATGCTCACTTCTAATTTGTCTGCGTTTGTAAATCATGCAAAATGGGCACATAAAACAACATATACTGCAGACGAATGATATAATGATCAACGCTATTAAAATAATTGGAAGAAGGCAATATAATCTGAAATATTTACAAATTATTCTATTATTAATAACACCTTTTCCACCGATGATTTTATTACAAAAAATGAAAAATATTTTTTACCTAAAAAGGAAATACTCTTGATAATTGCAACATTCAACGTCTCCATCCGAATTGTAACAACAGTATTCCTTATTTGAGTCTCCGAAAAGTGATGGACATCTATAGACTGACTTTGATAAAATCTTTCCGTAAAATGGATTACTTTCAGCCATCCATGGTGGAGTACAATCAACGGCCCCTTTAAAAAATAATGTTATAGTTAATTACAAATTTTATAGAACAAGTTTTTATTTATTTATTTCATGTTAACTAATGACTTCATTTACATTAATCTATACTTTTATTTAATTTTCTAAATATATATATAATTTTTTTTTTTTGAAATCTTTGGCATTACATAAAATGTAACACAAAAACGAATATAATATAATCATAATAATATCATCAAATCGCAAAATGTTGAACCTGTTGCATTTCTCAGCGCGCACGCAGTTAAGTTTCTACCTGTGTAAGGTGTTAGTGCTTCTCATTTTACATTGCAAAAACGATTATTTTCTTTAATATTATAGAAATTGTTTAGGGTAGATCGCGAGAGTTTGTAAAGAGAGCCGCGTCAAAGCATTGGAAACTAATTAGTTTGTTAACATTGAACAATTGTACCTTAAGGTCTTGTGTAATAGGTAAATATTATTTGTAATCATGTAGAAAACGATAACGAAACGCATCACGCGACCACTTGAAGTTTTACTTAAGAAGTACTTAAGTCACTGTTATTATCATCACCCATATTTACAATATTATTGTATTACTTGTGTGTTGTTTCATTTTTTTCATAATAATTTGTGCCGTTAAAAATTTTGGGGTATGAACCGTGGGATGAAAAAGTTTGAATACCTCTAGTTTAGGGTATTGCTTTTTATATTTCATATTTTCATATTAACCAACTTCAACGTGGACATTTTTTTTTCAAACAATATTATGTTACAGAATAAATGAATTGAACCGCAGGTCCGCAGCTGTAGGTAGGTATTTCTGTTTTATTTGCTTCATCTCGTAGTTATAAGGTAACATATTATCATAATGTAGCTAATTGATTTTTACGTGTTTCAACTTGAAAGCTCATACTCAGCATACTCTTATTGTGCTGATTGTGTATATTATTAAAAAAGAAGAAAAAAGTTTCAACTTGACAATACTATACCTACTTTTCCAATAACAAACTTATTTTCTTCTACTACCTACCTATGTTGTTTACTTATTTTACTTTATTTAAATACATTAAATACAGTGTGATTCACCGTCACCAAGCATTATATATTCGATCCCATTTTTCATTAAACAATAAATGTACTTAAATTTTGATTTATTATTTATTATTTCATAGTAACAGTCCGGCTAATAATTATATGTTTATGTACACAATATTATACGTTACGTTTATAGTTTTTTATGATATAATAGCTGAACCCGTGGTGCACTTCGTAGCCCGTTAAAAATCCTATCTCTTTTATGGTTCCAAGTTTCCAACTGCTAATTAGTTTTCTGTGATTATGCTAGCAGTATATTTTTATTTTTTATACATATAAATAATAATATATGATGATTAAAATATATTAAGTAATAATTTTACAACCATATTCAATTTAGTAAATAATTATGTAAATTTATTCGTTTTTTTCGAGAAATGGAATAATATTTATTGAAGGGCATTTAGATACTCAATATTTTTTGTTGTTTCTTCTGGTCCACACACTTGTGGCGATTATCCTTGTGCTTTATTGATGGTTATTTCAAAAGAGAGTCGCGCTGGAAACTGCAAAGTTGGAATCATTGGGGTGCGTGATGACAACAGTAAATCTTCGCCTTTAAACTTTCAATCTAAAATTGTAGCTTTGATAATGTTGTTCAACTTTTTCACTGAAAGTCTGCTATTATTTCAGAGTCGTGGTGGATTGATGTTTCGTAGAAGAATTATGGGCACACGGCACACTAAATTTCAATGTTAGAACGTGCGGTGGGATCCGGAAGTAAAAAAAAAATATATAGGGTATGAAAATAAAGCATTTCATTTTAAATTTCAATTCCTTTAGTCGTATACAATGCATGTTGAACATTATAAATTGACAAACAATTATGTCAATTTTTTATTTTTATTGTACCTAATAGTATAAGTAATTATGAATAAATATTTGTAATATAAATAAACCGGAATTTTAGATGGAATCCTACACTCCCTACATCCCACCCAAATTACGCCTCTGGCGGGGTAAAGTTTTATTATTGTCCATTACCTATTGTCTATTGATCACCTAGCTATATCTGTTATAAGTTATAACTATTGTTATAGATTTATGTTGCATTTGTATGTTGTTATACTAATATTACTAGGTAGGTAGTAGGTACTAGGTAGGTACCTAATCGAATAAATCTTAAAATGTATTATAATTATATGGTACCATTGTCCATTACTATCATTTTAAATGTAAAATGTATTAACAAATAACAATTCATGTATGATAGACAGAAGTCAGTCGAGAGTGAGCCTGTCGTTAGTGACGTGTTATGCCATTATTTTGATATGATCTGAATCTTGAAATATAATGTATAAGTAACCGTACCATAAACATTTTACATCCGTCTTATTATATTGCATTATATTAAATTTAACATAATATATGTATAGAATTTCAGAACCATGTCACGAGTGCAATAGATTTGGCTATGGATCACTTGGATACACGCACTACTCTCGCACGCTAATTGTGAAACATTGATTTTTATTAATATAAATAAATATTATAGGTAAATTAAAACCATTTTCAAATTTCCATAGCCCCTAAACCTTTCAAACTCATTACCTGCAAGGACCTATAGGTATAGTCATCTTAGTACCTACATAATGTTAAATATATAAAAATTACTAATTCCAACTTTGATTTTGATACGTCAACGTTTTCTGAAAAAGCTGAAAAATTTACGGTAGAAAAGGGAGGTTGTCGTTTGAAAAACAAACATTTTATCTTCCCAGAACACTCACTACGGTTGAGTACCTATAGTACAGAAGACTTTGTTTTATTTTTATTTTTTTTGAAAACAATCATTTGAAAATGTGTTCTTTAAGTATATTTGAAAGGCCCAAAAGTCAGATTTTGAATAACGACATAATTGAAGGAAAATAAGCTTGGGGGTGAGCGTGCATCTTAAATCACCCTGTATAGTGTATAATGATAATAATAACAATAATAAATAATCGTTATTCATCAAGTATTGTTTACCGCTCTGCAGCAGTGCAGCTATACGTAATATAGGTATGTCTATATCTATATATTATATTAATATGTATTGAGTGTGTAGGTACTTCATCATTGAGTGAGTCACTATCTGCACTCTGCAGAATTGATTCTAAGTGGTGTGAGGTCTGAGTAAGTTTGTTTTGGGTAAGGCTACAGAGTTTTGTAAAACGCTATTCCAAAACGCCGAACAAATAATGTGCAAAGCCCGGGCCTAGGGTCGCTTTGGTCAACACCTAATCCGGCTCTGAACTCACCATGGATGTGTTAAAATGTATTTTAATGAGAGAACATTGCAGGTAGGTATGCAATGGAAAAGATCCTAAAAGAAGCAGTGGCGTAATTAGGAATTTGTCTTAGGGGGGGATAAACATTTTTTTCCACAAAAAATACTTAGATTTTCAAGTACAATATCTGGGAAAACTATTTTATCAAAAATTCTTAAACTAATATATATGTACACAAAATGTATTAATAAATGTGCTTTAAAATTATACACAATTTAGTACCTATACAATATTATAATAATTTCTTCAAAATGTAAATTTTGAATATATTAGAATTAAAATTTACTTTTAAATTAAATAATAATTTATAGATTTCTTGATATTAATTATATTTAATATATTTCGTCGTGATGTCAGCACGATAAAACATAATATAATTCCATAAGCTTCAAATTAATATATTATAAATATACACATTATATAGGCTCTGGGGGAGATATATCCCCCTCATCTCCCCTTAATTACGCCCCTGAAAAGAAGACGCTTTCTAAACCACGTTCTAAATCTTTTGTTACCATGTGGTTATTAAACAATTTGATATATAGGTATTTGTTGGCTAGATCATATCTATATTTGATAGGTTAGGCTATACATACTTATAACTTTTTTTTAAATCCGTACTTAATTAATATCTTATACACTTATTGAAAATACGCAGGAATTGTATTTACCTACAAATTAGCTAGGTATAATTAACAGAAATACATTTTTTTTAATTGTTGTTGTGTAATTACTAATTCGTCTTATCTAAACCTTGAATTTATTTAAATACGCACTACTCGTACGATTGTATAAGATGGCAAATAAGAGTTTTATATATCATAATCATGAATCAATATTCATAATTGTGAAAATCTATGTACATATGTGTATACTTTATTGTACCTACCTATACTTAATTTTTCATATTTATAGGCACTTCATGGATCGTATTAATATTTAAATAAAAATAAGATTTGATAAAACTATGTAAACTTTGCAAATTAATATTTTTATTATTTTAATATAGATGCATTATATATATTATATACATCATATATAAAATAATTTGTTATTGTTCTTTAACAAAGTTTGTTTACGGTTTTGATGTCTATTTTAATTTTTTTTCTATGCCATAATTAAAATAATATAAAACAAACGTAGGTAGGTATACCTAATAAATTATAATGAATAAATAGGTAAGGTAATCAACTACGCCGATGAGTAGTGAAAGAAATAATATTAATCGCATTGACATCATTCATTAATACTAAGTTATTCATAATAAATAATAATAAATAAATTATGTTTATTGAATCATAACAAATTTATTAAAATGTTTAAGAAATTATTATTAGATATACCTATTTATGATTCTTGGTCGCTGATAGACGATAGTTATAAAATACATTATTATTTAGTTGTTTTAATTTCGAACATCGTAATAGGTAGGTACATTATACAATACTGTTATTAAAATAATTTAAGTTTTAAAAGTTTTAATAATTCACAAATTTCTGAATGTAGAATTTTGTATATTACCTACTATACAAATATATAATGTACTAAGCATAAAATTATTCATAATATTATTCGCTCAAACAGACCACATAATTTTGGAATTCATTAAAAACGGTAGGTACGTATACGCTTCCTTATTGTACCTATAGTCGGGTAAAAATGTACTTTGCTGAACACAGACACTTTGAATTATGTATTATACATACAAGACCTCACAAGGGGGAGGGTCAGAAGGACCCATGATGCTTTTATTTCGAGTACCGTTTCGAAAATCGAAAAACGACCTCTCTAAAGTACCAGCTCAAGAACATTAGGTACCTTTCAGAAAAGATGCTACACTAATAATTGATACTTTTGAGTTTTGAGCAAGTTTAGAGGGAGACAAAGTGTTGACAGAATAAAAAAGAAAAAGAAATAAACATCAATGTAAAACCAATACATTCATCACTCCGCTTAGAATCTAAAAATCATAATGATCAAACATTTTAATTTATGAGTAGAAAAAAAACTAATAACCACATAAATAACAATTATAATCCACGGATAGCCTCCTCCTTGAAACTTGTTAGAGACGCCTCTGCAACCGGCTAATCGTCAATTTCTCTAAAAAATATTTTCAAATTCTATTAATTCTCCTTCTCTATGCTTGCTGAAATTAGCTCCATAGTTCTTACAAGTTCAACTAGAAACACCGATTTTTTTTGTGTTCCTTTATATTCCTCAATTAACMAGTATAATTACCCCTTTATCCGATTGTCGGAGATAACCAATGAGACCCATCTCTTTTGATTTAACTAACCCACAGCAATCGAATTGCATCCCAAAATCGCTTTTTTATACGAATTGAACTATACTTAATATTAAATAAATAAATAATAATATTAAAATATATAATTTACGAAACAGGTATGTATAAAAAAAACTTTACCAGATATATGTGTAGCCTGCAGCATAAACGAAAGCAATATCACTATTAATTTTTCCATTTCTTTATTTTTCGCTATACAGAGTTATTAGATTAAGTACATATTATACTGAATAGGTTTCAGTAATATATAACAAATAATGGTAAGAATAAAATAAACTATAATTTATAAGTACATATAATATGAGCTAGATAATTATTTGTAGAAATAATTTAAAAAAAAAAACAATTGCAGCGCATTATATTCATTATAGGCATCTTTATACTGATATGCTTAGTGAGTAGTGACTATGTATCTATATAGTCATAACTTAATTATTTGATAGATATCTTTTGACTCAAGTAGTAGATAATAGACCCAACAACATCTAATGTCATACCTAATATAATATATATATATATTATAATATAACAAAATATTATTTAAGTGTATAACAATCAATAGTTAATAGATAAGTATAAATTTCAATATATTTATTTAATATTTATGAATGGAGCACCAACACAATTTTTATCATCAATTTATAGGTATAAAAAGATAACTATCATTGGAAAACAATTTAAAACAATGTGGCAAAAATTCAATAACAAAAATAGCATTATTTTAGGAGATCCAGGTTGAGAGATTTATATAATCTTTATATTATGTATGGATATTAGGTATAAGCGTTATTTGGTAATAATAATTATTAGAATAAGAAATAATACAAAATACATTAATGAATAAATAATATTTTTTATTTTTTAGAACATATTAAATATTATAACACATATCATAACAATAAAACAATTAACCATAAAATATATATATTTTTTGATTTTTAGTATAATATTAAATTAGGTAAAATCAGAATGAATAATTTATATCAATCAACACTAAATCATTTACATATACAAAGTATAGTAGATACATATACACATATGTACCTACATATATACAGGGTTTTGTTTTAATTTTAATAATACTTTAATTCAAATTCCTCGTATTTTGTGCACTACTCGAGGAGTAACATTATTATATGCATAAAAAATTGTACTAGCGTGGAGGGCTAGTTTGTACATAAAATTGTAGTATTCATTACACTTAGATAATTTTTTCAAATTACATGTATTGATAGGTCAATAGTAATTTCTAACATTTTCAAATCATCTAAGACCCGATATCTAGATTGTCCATCACCATAAATATTAAATTATCATTAGTAAACAAATGTATATAACTAAAAGTTATTCGCTCAAATTTTGATAAAGATACGTCAAAACTCTTAAAAATTTATGATCAATAATTAAAAGTTTAAAAGTGGAGTTTCTATTTGATAAACAAAAGTTTTTATAATTAAATGATCATGATTCAGTGTTACTCTAAATCTAAAGTATTCGAAAATATGGCATTCAAGTGCATTTAAAAATTCCAAAAATCAAAATTAAACCTATCTAACCTATGTATAATTTAAGAATACAAAATAGGATGAGCTTAAAAAATCACCATGTATAATATATATTAATTCTCATTTAAATATTATTGTTATATTGCATATAGTCAAAGGCGTGCATAGACTACGTTTTGGGGAGCATATTAAAAATTAGGACTTACAAAAACTACTAGTAAATAATTTTTGTGTTAATACAGAGGATATTTTTTTTTTTTAATTTTAACAATTATTAAAGTGAAAATTTATAGAAAAAAATCTATTTAAATAAAAATAAGTATAATAATATTTATATGTAAACTAAAATATGTAGAAAAACTTAATAAAAATTAACTACCTATAMAAATAATTGATAATATACCATTTTTTGAAAAATTACACAAAGTTTAAGTCAATTACTCCAATACTGCCTATTATTATTATTATGTTATTTTTTTAAAGAAAAATTAAGATTTTGTTATTCGAATCATTGAAAACTTTTATTAGTGCTGATTTATGAATAGCTTGGTGTTTTTAATKATAAGTTTCAATACTTGTAAGACATTATTTTTATGTCAAGTTTCAAAAACTGAATAAGGTACCTTATAAAATTATTCACATACTTAAAACCACAAACAATGAAATATTGAAAACTAACAAATCCATTGCGATTTGTAATTAATAACTAGGACTTCGGCGAAGAGCCCAAAGTGCTGACATCCCCTGTGTGCACACCTATGTACATATAGTATTAATATACAAGTGTTTTATACTTAATTTATTAAAATTCTGATTCTTGAAACTATTTAAGGAATATCTTGCGGCTATACAAATATTTTAAAAAAGAACCAACCTTTTTTTTGAATTGTTAAGTTAATGATTTTTTTTTTTTGAAAATGTTGAGGTTTTTAAATCAAAGTTTGAACAAATAGTTGCTGAGTTATTAAAATGTATAAACTAATGATAATAGTCTTTAAATATAGTTAATTAAAAGTTTTAGATACGTCAAAATTTTCAAAACAGTAATTTGGTTAACAAATTGCTGGAAATTCAAATAAAAAAAAAAATTGAAATCTACATAGGATATTTCTGAAATGGTATGACAAGATTAATTATTTGAAATTATGGCCTTTAAGTATTCTTGAAAAATCCGAAAAATGGAATTTGAATTAATTTATTACTAAAAGATAAAAAGGGGTGGGCAATTAATAATGCTCACCCCTTTTGCCCTGTATATTGTTACTAATTTGCAATTACTAATGAACTAATAATTGGTATTAATACATATGTAGTATATCAATTATATTTTATTAATATTATACGCGAATTTATAATAACAATAATATTGTTTCTTGTAAAATTTATGAAAAATAAAACTTTTTACTACATTTAAAACTAAAACCAGTTAAAAAAAATAAAAATATCACAGAAAGAAATATAAAATATGTTATTAAAACCGATGTTCAAAGCCTTTGGCCATGCCAGTCCATCTATTAGGCACTGATAAAAAATACAAATTCATGGCAGCAACAAATCTATTTTTGTACTCTTCTGGAGAAATTATTGTAGGTAATTTACCTTGACCACCAAGGAGTCCCGATTTTTTTACCATTGTTTCTATTTTCTTGTCCCATGTAAAAGTACGAATATAATCTATAAAAATGAAATTTATCAGTTATGAACTAAAATGTTTTAAAAAGTTATACATTATACATTAATAAAAGTTTTTATTTAACCTATTAAAAAATAAAAATAAACAATAAAAGTATTACTTTTTATTGTTACAAAGTCATGATATTTATTTAGAACTGTACATTTGTACTTAAAATAATATGCTGATTTTAAATATCAATGATTGTAGGATTTTTATTTTAAACAAATACCAGCATATTTTAGTAAGTGTGAAGAATTTTGGTATTGGTATGACATTATTATTTGGAGATAGCCCTGACCTTAATTAATTAAATTATAAATTACCAATGATTCCTAATACTAATTCACCAGAATCTTCATCTAAGCCAACCAATAGAGAGTAATCCATGACAAGTTGTGAGGTGAGAAATTCTGCATCATCATTGATTGCTTGATTTAAAATTATTTTAGAGTGAGGGTGAACATATAATGGTGATTCACATGACACTAAAATGGAAACAATGCTTAGTTTAGAATAAATGTCTACAATTTAAAATAATTTAAGAAAAGAAGAATACTTTTAATAAGATTTTCATCCAATAATACAATCTCTCCATCTTGCGAATTTGGATCCACTAATCTATTTCTAACTGACCCTTTTAGATCAAATATATGAGAAATATTTTTATTGTAGAAGAGATTCTCCATCACTAATAAGTTTGAATTGAATGATGAACCTTTGACAGTATTGCGATATCTTACTTTATAAACTCCAACAATTTTACATAAAAGAGTAGGTCGTCTATTTGTCTGACGCGAGTGTATGTATGCAAAATATTGAGGTGCAAATTCTAAAAAAGGCAATATCTCTAAACGAGACATTTCCTTCAATACAAACCTGTCATCTAATAATAAAAAATATTATTGAATATTATACAATGAATAGACATTTAAAGTATACACAACATATAATAATTAAAAAAATATAATATTATAAACAAATTAACTTTAAATTACCTTTTGTTTTACAAAAGTTTGACCCTGACTTCCCACCTCTAGCTGACCATGATATGCATCTTGCTAAAGAACGTATGTACATTTCTTCTCCTGATACAAAGAATGTTTCTCTTAATTTTGCAAATTGTTTAGCAAAATAAACTTTCACATAGAAATTGGTTGTAGAATCTGAGAAGGTTATCTGTACAAAATAAAATAAGGAATTTATTGTTTAGAAATGAAAAATGAAATCATATGTAAAGTAATAAAATATGAAATATATGGTAATAACACAAAAATACAAACAAATGATTATTTAAAATATTTTTAACTAGATTTACTTGATGCAAAAGTATCTAAAACGTCATCAATGAAAGTTTTTTACATAAGTCATTTTCAATTAACATAATTGTTAATGCGTTCAACCTATCTTCAATCTGTGCAGATCTTAGTTGATTTTTAATTAAAGTCAACTTTGAGAATAAACGTTCAGCTTCACAATATTTGTCAACGGTATAGACTGGTATAATCTTAGTGCAATATATACATTTGGTACAACATCAATAAGTTGTTGTTCATATAGAAGTTTTGTTATAGCACCATAATTGTTAATATCTGAAGAAACTGTTTAATATAATGATAAAAATATGATATTTCTGTTTTCAAGTTATCACCGAGATCATTATGGTAAAACTGAATACAGTTATTTAACGAATCAATGTCTGGGTCATCGTCAGTTTTAAAGTTAACTAAAAATTTGAATTGAGAAAGAAAAAGATTATAAGAATTTAATCTTCCGCCAAGTTCAGAAATCAATTTATCTATAATAACAAAGAAAGTATCAACTTCAAATTTTTTTTCCTACATAAAATAGTTTGATTTCACATTGTCTTTGTTTTTTTTACCGACACACATAAAAGCCGTCTCAAATTTGAAAAAATTTTAATCTAACCTATCTAATTCAATAACTTGCAGGTTGTCACAGACAATTATTTCAAATGATTAATTGATTATATCTTTAAATAAATATTGTTAAAATCATATTTTTCTAATTATATATCAATAATTATAGAATAGCTGCAAGCCCATATTATTTTTTGAGGTGACTTGGGCTATTACTTGTTTAGCCCCCCC